ATCATCAATTTGATTGCAGATACAAACAATTTCGCCAATGATATCAAGCGAAAATTGCAGCAAAATATTAATTCAGCATTACATTACATTCTTCATTACAAATCAACATGTCTTTAACGCCCGCCGTTGAATCAAATTTTATCTCTTCCACGAAACAAAAATTTCACCATTTCTACCCTTTGCCGTGATAACAACTGGTAGAACAAAAATACAGTAAAACAAGGATGGCCGGTTGCTGTGCAGGTAACACAGAATGTTCCGACCACACTCAGAGAAAATTTTCTTTTTTCTCTTCAAGTTAGTGTCTTTTATTGTACGTCAGGTGATGATAGAACTATACGAACGCGTAAAAGGTAGTGACTTAGGCATAAAATACTGTAATTGTCTTCAAAAACATTTTTTTTTAAATGAAAAAAAAAACACTGAATAAAAGGTTCTTTTAATTTTCCATTTTTTTTGCATAAAAAAATTGAAAAAAACTAAATCACAACCAAATAGCAAGTGCCTCGCCATTTTCAATGGTTGGAACAAAAACGCGAGCAACTTTTTCCACGCGTAGTACAGTATAATAAGGAACATTTTCAAACATTTTATTTTTACTGTATGTGCTATTCAACCAGCAACTTAGACAATCAAAGTGTCATCTAGAAAGCAAAGTGTTTTCTTTGCCTTGTTTAAGATTCAGTCCATTGCCTTCTAAAACTTTACTATTGGGCTCCCCTCGAAAATGATGAAGTGTCAGAGGTTAGCTTTTTCCGCAGCCAATTTGTTCCGACTTTCGATACGAAAGTAACGGAATATTTGTGATCGGGGTGGGTTTTTTTCAGACAAATTTCGACTTTTTAACTAGTCATTTTTGACGGAATTTTTTGTATCATTCAAAAAGTATTGCTGTCTTGAGCTTAAATTTGAAAAAATATTACACCAGTACTCTTTTTTCGTTAAGTTATGGGGGTTTAAAGGTTGCCATTTCGGCCGATTTTGGATAATTCACGCGCGATATATTTCGCGCTATTAGTTCGTTAGCGGAGAATTAATCTGTCTTAGAATTCGTTCCAAATTGGTTGAAAGAAACTTATTTGCCATAATTGATTTGTTACAAGGAGCGAAATCTATCCTTTTGTACTGAATATGGCGTGTGGGGTGATGAATTTCATAAAAAATTTAAAATTATAGATAATTTTTTTCCTGCTACGTTTTTTCCAGGTAATCGGTACACCATCCTCAATGTCCGCTTTTTCCTCAATTAAGTTGTGTTTGTAGGGTTTGTATGTTTTTGGATGAGCGAAAATGAAAAGCTCAAGACAACTTTCGACTTCACATTCACTTCGACTTCACATTCACTTTAATTAGAAATCTGCAGAAGTCTCTCCAAGCAAGCGGTTAAGAATTTTTTTTGCAATCAAAAACTGTATTTTTTCAACCTTTTGAAAACAGATTCCTCGCACAATATTTTAAATTTTAGACAGAGGCGTAGCGGAGCTTCACGACACTTGCGATACAAAATACATTGCATTTAAAAATGTTGAATAGCACAAGAGATGAAAGACAAAAAATACAATACAAACATAATAACAAGTCGAAAAAAAGCTAGAATAATTAAGATAAGAAAAAAAACTAGGTGAACCAAAATTTTTGTAACTATCGAGAAAAAACAAATACAGGCCCAGCTAAAGCTGGAGGTACGTATTTAAAGTTGAATAAGTTTGCTATACTGATTGCGGCACGAAAAGTGTGTTTTCAAAAATTGGACTTTGCCTAAATATTAGCTGTTTCACGATTCGAATAATTGAAAAAAAATTTTTTTGAGATAATCAATTTTCCCGAAGAGATAACATTTCTTCAACAAAAAGTTCAGGAATTGGTGCTTCTGCAGGAAAAATTATCGGAACCCGCTCTTTTAATGGATTTTTTCATCTCAGTTTTGATTGTGTAAGATTTAGAAAAATTCAATAGATTCTAAAAAGCGGTCGAAAGTTCTAAAAAACGCTCAAAAGACTTTCCAAAATTCATAACGTGTTTTTGCAAACCGTTTGAACACAAAGTTTCAGGTATGGCACAGTAGTTTTCCAGAATATTAAAAAACAAAAAATTGGTCAAAAAATCAAAAAAAATTTAGAGGGCGATAACTTCGTGTGTAAGATTTTTTGTTACTGCCCGCTAATGCAGAGGAGCTGCCCACTACCCGTTGTCTCATTGAACCCACAATATGAGATTTGGGAGAGTAGTTTTCGAGGAAAGTCAAAATCTTTCCAAAAACGGTCACAAAATCAAAATTTTAATTTGCCGAGGGCCTAACTTTTGGATCTAAAAAAATTGGGCGTAGTAGCAAAAGCAAATCAACTTCCCGAAGCCCATTCTGAGAATTAAACCTAAAATTTTAGGTATGGCGGTGTAGTTTTCGAAAATCTTCAAAAAGTTTAAAACACGGTCAACAAATTAAAAAATTGGTTTTTCAGAGGGCGATTACTTGTTGTACTAAACTTTTTGATAGTCCGCTTCCCACTCTTTGCTATCTCACTGAACTCACATCAGATTTGAGAGGTTAGTTTTCGAGAAAAGCCAAAAAGATCCACAAAACGAACAAAAATAAGAAATTTAACTATTCCGAGGGCCATAACTAAATGTGCAAAAAAAAATTAGTCGTAGCCACTTATGCAGGGGAGCTTTTTAAAACAATTCTATCCATTGAAACCAAAAACTCAAATATGAGAGAAGTAAATTTCGAGCAAAGGAAAGAAACATTTAAAATATGGGTATGCAGGGGAGTCTGAAGGCACACGAAAAAAATTAAAATATGGGTATTGAAAAGTGCGGAGGGGAGTGCTAATACTGGGTTGATCTTGAAACTTCCCAAAATTAGGTCATTAAGCCGATGAAAAATAAGGCCTAAACATATTTGGCCGAGGAATTTTTTAAGCTAAACAAAAAAAAACAAAGGAAATATCAAGCCATGGTCAGCAAAATTAAAAAATATAGGCGTAACTCAAACATTAAAAACAACATTAAAAAATTGCACGTAGAAAAAAAAACAATTCCAAGATGTGACAACTAAGCCAAGAAAAGATAAGCAGACAAAGAATCGGCCGACAATTTTTTTTGAAACAATATATCCTGTTTGAAAAAAAAACAGGTCCTGGTCAGACTTGATTCCAGGACCTTTGGCGTCCCGGGCATATTCGTTACCTCCAAGCTAAGTTGACCAGGAACACTAATAAACTTGAATACATATAAAACAAGGTAATAAATTTGAATACATATGAAACAAGGTAGAGATGAGTCCAGACGAGTTGCAATGCCCGCCCTTGCTTATCGCAAGGACAAAACTTATTCTTAGGAAAAACTTTAATAAGCTCTTGGATTCATTTACCGAGAGCGGCAACTAAGGCGACAAACTTAGGGTCGACCCCCGTTGAGCCAAAAACAAAACTGTCATAAAAAAATTTTGAGCTACAAGATTTAGTAGTTTTTACGATCCATCCCTAGTTGAAAAAAGAAATTTAACAATTCCGAGGGCCATAACGTAATGTGCAACCTTTTTTTGTCGTAGCCACTTATGCAGTGGAGCTTTTTAAAACAATTCTATCCATTGAAACCAAAAACTCAAATTTGAGAGAAGTGCATTTCGAGAGAACAAAAAAAAATTCAAAATACGGCTATGCATGGGAGTATGCAGTCACACGGTTAATAAGCGGTCTTTCAATTGATACTACTTTTTTGAAACTCTTTTTTGAAAGTAGTTTGAGAAAAATTTAAATTTTTGCGAAAAGTGAAATTTCCAAAACGAGAAAAAATGAAATTTCAACAAACCAATCAGTAAAACATACAACCAACTTGAAAAGTGGGGAGGGAAGTGCTGAAATTGGGTTGATCTTAAATTTCCCAAAATTAGGTCATTAAGCCGATGAAAAAAAAACCTAAACATATTTGACCGAGGAATTTTTTAAGCGAAACAAAAAAAAACAAAGAAGGAAATATAAATCCATGGTCAGTAAAATTACAAAATGTAGGCGTAATTCAAACATTAAAAACAACATTATAAAATTGCGCGTAGAAAAAAAAACAATTCCAAGATGTGACAACTAAGCCAACAACAGATAAGCAGACAAAGAATTGGCCGACAAATTTTTTTTTGAAACAATATATCCCGTTTCAAAAAAACAGGTCCTGGTCAGACTCGATTCCAGGACCTTTGGCGACCCATGCATATTCGTTACCACCAAGCTACGTTGACCAGGAACAATAATAAATTTGACTACATAATGAAACAAGGTAGATATGAGTCCAGACGAGTCCTGAGGACAAAATTGTTTACGGGAAAAAAGTCTAGTACCCAGTTGCAATGCCCTTGCTTATCGCAAAGATAAAACTTATTTTTAGAAAAAAACTTAATAAACTATTGGATTCATTTACTGGGAGCGGCAACTAAGGCGACAAATTTAGGGTCGACCCACGTTGAGCCAAAAACAAAATTGTCATAAAAAAATTTTGAGCTTCAAAGTTTTTACGATCCATCCCTGGTAAAACACGCGAAGCATGAGAAAACATTTTGCCTTCGAAACTTCGCAATACAAGTTGACTAAGCCGTTATAACATAAGCTGAAACCGTTTAGCAACAAAATGAAAAAGCATTCAAAATAGACTTGGTAAAATTAAAGCACTTTCATTGTAGTGACAACTTCAAATCAAAAGAAAAACCCATGCGTAGAAAAAAAAGGTCAAGAAAAAAATCGTACCAGATAACTTACATAGCATTCAAAAACTGAAATTAAACCAATGGAATTTAAGACCAAAACCAAGAATCCAAGTAGAAATCAACTTTTTTTTCAAAAGTTTACTTGAAAAATTAATTACTACCGAAAATGAACTCCATCTAATTTGAGCTCCACTGCATAAGTGGCTACGACATCAGGAAATTGAGTTTGTCAGCAATCTCTGTGTGAAAGTAACGGCACGTTGGTAATGGGAAAAAGTCTAGTTCCCGATAGCAAGTACAAAAACAAGATGCATCAAATTAAATTAATCTGTCTACTATATTTCATGTTGGAAAAACAAAAAAAAATGGAACATTTAGTTCACTCGTCTTCATTGTTATCTGGCAACAGATCAGCTAGACTCTCCGTGGCTTGTTTGGCTTCTTCTGGATACTGCTGCGACAGTTTGTGGCGCAAACTCCTCGTGATGGAACTGATTGCCACTAAATCTTTATGCAGGTCCAGCAACACTCTGAGAAAAAAGTAAAATCAGACAAAACAAACTAGAATACTTAAAACAAGATGCATGAATGAATAAAATAAAATTGTTCTTTATTAAATAAAGGGGCAGATCTAGGTTTTTCTCGAGGGGATCGCGGATTTTTAAAAAAATTCAAAAATTTAGTCGACTTTTTTTAAGTCGATCAAATTGAATTTCGAGCTCTACCCCAAGGAACTAAATTATTTAGGGAAATTAATTGTGCCGCAGGCAAAACTTTGAAAACTAACAGGCCAAAAAATTGAAAATTTAGACCAAAAAATTGCGATTTCCGGCGCGCTTCCCTCTAAATATTATTCAATATAGGCGCCGAAGGCGCCTTTAGAACCTTATAGGGTCCGTCAGCCAAAAATGCAGATCTCAAAATAGTATGAAGGGGTGACCCTTCAGGTCGGCAGCGGGTGGAATCGTTGAGGGGGGAGCGTCTGCATCACCCGCTCCCTGATTAACAATGGTTTAAACACTGCGGCCGAAATGTATCAACATTGATTAAACGAAGAGAACACTTGGTTAAATTTTTGACTGCTTAAACTCTCAGATAAACTCAAAATTTGACTGACTTGGTGTTTTCCTCGAACTTCCACTGCTGGTTTCTGAGAGTGTCCGATGAGAACTGGTTGAACTGTTTCAGTCTGTCATTGGTTTTGATCAACTTGGCCGAGATGAACTCCTGACTCCGCTTCAGACCATCCATGTCTTCTTGGTTCACCTGGAATGCAATTCACCCACAATAAAAACACAAGCAAATTGTTCATCGATTGGTTCTAATTGATTCTTTTTGAAAATGCAAGTTAATCGCCAAGTACCGTAGCAACAATTTAGAATGCAATAAGTTATTTTCAGAAAAATCTTTAAACCTAAAATCAGAAGAACAGAAAACAAAAAACGTAGCCCTCCGTCTACACGAACCTAACTTTTGTAATGCGTCGATTCTATCTGTATTTACTAAGAGATGATTGAGAAAACACTTGGGTTTAAAAAAACGATTTCTATGCAAACACATTTTTACCAGTGCAGATAACTTTGACGATACAGAAGTGTCCCCCATGTCGTAAAATGTGTTGGACAGGGACGCGGATGAGGAAAAGTCGTTCGCACTATTCTCAATCTGGTGGGGTTGAGATGGTTCATCGATGTGCATGTGGTCGGTATTCTGACTGCCACTTGCTGTTATTTCAGGGAAAGAGTTCAACGGTTTTATATCTGAATTCAGTATAACCAATCCGTTTTCATGCTTAACTACTAAAAATTTGATGACAATCAACAACAATTAGAGATATTAACAGATCAGACGGCGTTGGCTAATGAATGTTTGAAATAAGTTTTTTTTAAAAAGTTATTTTAGTCAGCTCAAGTGCCCTACTGTGTTCAGAAGAGAGCCAACTTTTCGAATAGGAGATAGTGAGCGAAGAAAAAACTGACAAAGAGGCGAATCTGATCTCCACGGACAAGTAAAAAACAGCAAAAAGAAGCTTGCTGCAAAAATGAGCCATGAGACTTTGATTGAATGTCACCAGCCTTAACGCACAATTGCATCTGAGCTCTATGTAACGTGAATATGAAAAACATTGCATCGCGTTAACTAGGTAAAGGTAGCTCGTGCTAGTCAAAAATGCAAAAAAGAAACACAAGAAAAACGTAAAATTTAACGATACCAGCAGTTTGCATTGGAGCAAAAGTTGACTCGCCCAACAACACGATGTAATCAAGCCCCGCTTTTGTAAAAATGAAAATACTGCACTAGCTTTTTCGCCTAAAATGAGAGACAAACTTGAAATAACAATCGAACTGTAGAGGAATATAAGACAAGCGCAGTTGCACTTCGCATGCAGAAGTAAAACTAAATAAACAATTTGAACATAGCCAACAGATAGTGGGAAAATAGTCAATGAACACAAGTAAACAAAAAAAATACTGGTTTGTTTTCAAAAAAACCTTAACTTCCGAGTTTCTAAAAAATATATAGCCAACAGACCGTTGGAAAAGAGTCAATGAACACAAGGAAATATAAAAAAACTGACTTATTTTGGAAAGAACAAATCAATTCTGCAAATTTGAAAGCAAACAATAAATGGCCTTCGAGCTCTTTGATTTTTCCGAACAATCTATGATTGACACTTTTCTGATAAAATTGACCCAATAATCCTTCCATTTACAAAATTAACGCAATAATCCTTCCCATCATCGCTCAAAACAGAATGCTAGTCTACGGATCAATCAATTTGTAACCCTGGATACTGCTGAAGAGTTCTGCTGTCCGAGTGACATGATTTCCGGTGAAAATTATGCAATAGTGCATCATCGGTTAGAATAGCAGCTTTCTGGCCGAAATGGCGATAAATTGCGCCTCGTCTGCTGAACAAAGATATTGACTAAATTGCAAGAGTTCATATCTACTAGCTTGTCTCTGGCCAGTTATTATGTACTGCTCTGAAACCTGGGCGCAGGCCAAGGCGATACCCAGCTCTCTTAAGAGTGCTGATAACAATGCTCTGCGTACGATTGCAGGAGTCACTTGTAAAGACAGAGTTACCAACGGAGCAGTAATTTAAATTAGAGGTCTCATTGTTCTGGATAATCTACAAGTACGGTCACGGCTACGATGGTTTGACCATGTTAACTGAACAGAAAATGACCATGCACTACAATCAACAGACTTTTTTCCAGTCCCAAGGAACAGACCAGCAGGAAGACCTTAAATACCCTCAGAAGTCTGGAAATTGTCAAGCTGTCTAGATAAACCATTGCTTACACACTTTCATAATATCCAAACCCACACAATTTAAAAATGGACAATGAACGCATTAGTAGTATTTGTAGTAGTAACCCACTTTGAGCAAACAGGATCAATACGTGAACTTTATAGTTGTCTGGGAAATCTTATAATATAAATCGTTTTTCGAAATTAAAAGTCGGTCACATTTTTCGTGATCTTAAAATTGTTGTGGTTCGATTAGTAAGTTTGTCTTTTAAAAAAATCATCAGTCTTAATCATAAGTTTGTCTTTTAAAAAAATCATCAGACCTATATTAGAGTCTTATCTACGTTCATCGATTCATACTAAAAAGTTTCACTTAACTATAAAGAATTTAAAGAAAGTAAAACACCCTGTAATTTACGACGCAGATTTTACACCGAGCATTTTAGAACCAACTAACGCAAATCGAAAAACAAAATACTGCATAGACTAGATGTATCAAACAAAATGAATCAAACTATTTTTCACAACATGCCAAAAAAAATGAATGTGAAAAAAGCATCGGAAGAAAATGTCCAACCCCGCCACAATTAGAAAATGGAAAAAAACGCATTAGTATTACTAATAATAGTATCCCACTTTGGGCAAGCAGAATTCAATTGGTGAATTTTTTAGTTGGCTGGAAAATCTGAAAACTAAAGTCCATTTTCGAAATTAAAATTCGATCACGCTGCATTTTTGCTGTTCGATAGTGAGTTTGCTTTTTGAAAAATTTGAAATGGATTGTACAAGGAATCAACAATTACACCGTGAAATAAAATTTAAGCCCGAACAAAATTTTTTGACTTTTCTAGGACGCATATTTTACCCCTTTGCATTTTAGAGCAAATTCACAAAAATCCAAAAAGATAATTAAAAAAAAACAATTCGGATTTACCGAATTGACTAGATGTAGCAAACAAAAAGCAAAAAGATAGTTTTCAAGAAAAAAAATATGCCCAGTAAAATGAATGTGAAGAAAGCATAAAAAGAAAGCTTAATAAGCGGCACCAAAAGTCGAAAGTATCTAAGGAGAAACCATTTCACTCGAGAAAACAGAAAATAAAAAAAATGTTCAGTTACCCTCCTTCTCGAAACAACAACTCACGCCCATAAACAAATTCTTTTGTTTTCAAACGACGCAATATAAGGCCACTGAGCCAATAAAATTTAGGTCGAAACTATTTAGGCAAACAAAACTTTTCAGCGAAAAAAAACAACAAGAGATAAAACATACAAAGTCAAGGTTAGTAAAATTACAAACAGCGAAAGTGAATCAAAACACTGAAAACACTTAAAGCAAATAAAATGTAAATTGCGTGTACGATTTTGATGTTGCAACTATGCCTATAAAACATAAGCAGACATATCATAAGCCGACAATGTTTTACAAACGGAAAATTTCGAATGGTCACGATACATCCAGAGCAAATGTCCCACAGAAGCAAAAACTGAATTCACTGTGAACTAAACCTAAATTTACCATTTCTAATTATGACCATTCTGTGAACAACGTTATTGACGGGAAAAAAACCTAGTACCCGCATGCCATAAACCTGCTATCGCAAAATAATCATGCTATTCAAGAACATTAACTTACGCCAATTGTTTTTACGGAATTGGGTGACTTTGTAGGAATAAAAAAGGAATGATTTTCTAAAACAACAATAGCAAAAAAATTAGGACAACATAGGGATCGAACTAACTAAGGGTGCAAATCCGATTTAACCATTCTAAAAACACTCCTTAGAGTTTCTTCAAACATTTGTGGGACTTTTCCCCATTTAGTTAAGAATTGTTTTGGAGAACAGTGTATAACTAAAACATGCTTCAAATCACTTTTATATGGTCCAAAAAAATGAGCCCTATGCTATGCAATTTTAGAAAACTTTCAATATTTTCTCGGTCTGCTTCTAGTCATGTCAAAACTTTGAGATTGTGCTTAAATTATATGCATTTCGATAGCAAAACTTTCCGTAAAAACATCAATTTTTTTTTCATCAATGCTCCTAACTACACCTTTTAAGCTGACTGTTTAAAAATTAGCGGTGAGTTAAACAATGAATAGGGTCAGTTAGACAAAGTTTTGACACAGAAGCGAAGCGGAGCTTCGCAGCACTTGCCATGCAACACAAACATGAAAAACATTAGTCGAAAAAAATTTGAATTTTGAAAAAACTAAGTGAACCAAACTTTTCGTATGTCTCGATAAAAAACAACTACAGGCCAGCTAAAGCTGGAGGTACGTGTTTAATATTGCATGAATTTGCTATACTCATCAAGCACGAAAAGTGTGATTTCAAAAATTGGACTTTGCCTAAAATCTTAGTTGTCTCTGTACTAAAATAAGTGGGAAGACTAAGAAATTTTCAGATAATCATTTTTCCCAATACAAGAAATTAAAGAAATTAAAGAATCACTGCTTCTGCAGAAACTAAAGAAATTAAAGAATCACTGCTTCTGCAGAAACAATTATTGCAACCCGTTCTTTCAAGGGAACTTTTCATCTCAGATTTGATTGTGTAAATTTTTAATAAAATTCAAAAAAATACCAAAAAACGGTCGAGTTTTCTAACAAAAAAAAGTTCAACACTTACCAAAACCCATAACATTTTTCTGCAAAAAGCAGGTTATGGCCGCTTAAGCCGGGTTTTTCGATTGACCTGAGACTTGTTTAAAGACAAAAACTTTTTTCTTTAACAAACTGGGCATAGCCAATTATAAGCTTTCGACATGGGTGATTTCAACAACCTATTCATTCGATTAAACCCATAATATCTGATTTGGCAGGATAGTTAGCGACAAAGGTCCAAAAAAACTGTCAACAAATCAAAAATTTGACGATTCAGCCAACCATAGCTTTCTGTGTGAAAAAAAATATGCAGAAGGGATTACAGGACCCGAAATCTCAGACTTGGGAGGGTAGTTTTTGAGAAAAATCACGAAGATTCACAAAACGATCAAAAATCAAAAACTCGACTATTCCCAGGGCCATAACTTTATTTGTTAAAAAATTTGGCTGTAGCTGCTTATGCAGGGGAGCTTCATAAAACCGTTCTTTTCATTGAAACCAAAAACTTATAATTGAGAGGGTTAGTTTTTGAGAAAACGTAAAAAAATGGGTCAAAAATTCACCAGCAGACCTTTTCCAAGGCTGCTAACAGAGGGGTCAAGTAAAAAGAGACTCTAGGGGAAGCTGCAGGCACACCGCAATTCAAATACCTTTTTGAAACATAAGTAGAAGTTTCCAAATGAATTTCCAAACGAAAAAAAAAGAAAGAAAATTCAACAAAACGAGTGGTAAACGTACAACCAGTTTGAAAATTGCGGAGGGGAGTGTTAAAATTGCATTTCCCTTCGAACGATCCAAAATTAAGTCAAAAATAGGCCCAAATAATTTGGGCTGAGGAATTTCTTTTTTAACGAAACAAAAAAAGGCGTGCAGCAAAAAACATTTTCAAGATGTGACAACTAAGCCGACAACAGATAAGCAGACAAATAATTGGCCGACAATTTTAGTTGAAACAGAATATGTCCCAATTGAAAAAAAAACAGGTTCAGGTCAGATTCGAACCCAGACCTTTGCCGTCCCAGGCATATTTTGCGGGTAACGCTAAAAAAAATTTGAACACATTCTGAAACAAGGTGCCACTAGAGATGAGTCCAGCCGATTCCTGTGAACAAAATTATTTACGGAAAAAAAATCTAGTACCCGATTGCAATACCCTTGAAAATTGGAATTTACTTTCGAAATTGGAAATCGAACACCTTCTTTGCCCTTTTCACTATTTTGTTCTATTGCCTTCCTTTCAACTTAAGATATGAACTGAGCGTAAAAAAACGGACCAAAAACTTATCACGACTCACTACGAGTAGAAACTCTTAAACATATGAGCGGAATTTATTTATTTTTATTCAAAAAAACTTGGTCGTAGTCGCATAAGCAAATTAGCTTCCGGAAACTCGTTCTGAGAACTCCCCAAAATCTCAGGTATGACAGGGTAGCTTTGGAGAATATTCATCAAGCTTAAAAACGGTCAAAAAATCAAAAACTTGAAGGGCGCTAACTTCTTGTGTAAAACAAAAACTTTTTGTTAGGGTCAGCTAATGCAGAGGAGCTCCCCAGTACGCGTTATCTCATTGAACCCACAAAATCAGACGAGAGCTAAGTTTTCGAGAAAAATCGAAAAGATTCACAAAACGTTGAAAAATCAAAAATTCGACTGTTGCGAGGGCCCTAACTTGTGCAAAAAAAAATTTTGCTCGGAGCCACTTATGCACAGGAGCTTTTCAGAACAGTTCAATTCATTGGAACCAAAAACTCAAATTTGAGAGAAGTAAATTTCGAGAGAACAAAAAAAATTTAAAATACGAGTATGCATGGGAGTATGCAGTCACACAGTTAATAAGCGGTCTTTCAATTGATACTACTTTTTTGAAACTCTTTTTTGAAAATAGTTAGAGAAAAATTTAAATTTTTGCGAAAAGTGAAAAAATTTCCAAAACGAGAAAAAATGAAATTTCAACAAGCCAATCAGTAAAACATACAACCAACTTGAAAAGTGCGGAGGGGAGTGCTAAAATTGGGTTGATCTCGAAATTTCCCAAAAAAAGGTCATTAAGCCGATGAAAAAAAGGCCTAAACATATTTGACCGAGGAATTTTTTAAGCGAAACAAAAAAAAAACAAAGAAGGAAATATAAATCCATGGTCAGTAAAATTACAAAATGTAGGCGTAACTCAAACATTAAAAACAACATTATAAAATTGCGCGTAGAAAAAAACAATTCCAAGATGTGACAACTAAGCCAACAACAGATAAGCAGACAAAGAATAGTTTTCGATAAGAAAAAAAATGGTTCAAATATTCCCCCTCACTTTTTCGAAGGCTGTAGACAGAGGGGTCAAGTAAAACAAGACTCTAGGGGAGTCGCAGGCACATAGAGGAGTAAGCGGTCTTTCAATTGATACCCCTTTTTAAAGTTTCTGAAAAAAAACTAAAATTTTGCACAGAATATTTCCCGTTTGAAAAAAAAAAGAGGTCCCGGTCAGATTCCAACCCAGGACCTTTACCGTCCCAGGCATAATCGTTATCTCCAGGCTAAGTTGACCGGGAACGCTAAGAAACTTGACACGGAGACGAAGTTGCAATTCGAATACACAAGCACAAATATGACCGATAGCGCTACTGGGAAAAACTGAATGATTAAAACTTGTACACAAATTGTAAAATTGAGTACACAAAATTTCGTAGGTGACGCACGCCAATTATGAGTCTACATAACTGTTAAGAGACGCACGCCAATTATGACTCATTAGCAGTACCAGTCAATTTGATGGAAAAAAAGTTTACCAACTAACATGCCTCAATTTACACAGCAGTCTATGGAGCAGTAATAACATGAAAAAACTAAATGTAATAAAAAAGAATTTTTTTTATATTTGAGATTTAAATATTTATGGTACAAAAAAGTCCCGTCAAAAATGGCTAGTTGAAAAGTCGAAATTCGTCTGAAGAAAAAACCACCCGAGCACAAATATTCCGCTACTTTCGTTACGAAAGTTGAAACAATAATAGTCTGTGTTAATATCTTTAGCATTGGCTGTACTTAAAAGCTCGTTATTGATCAAAATGAACACTTTCAAAGTGAACACATTTTATCTCAACAATTTTTCTTGCTTGTGTAAATGCAATATGAAAAAAGGTAGTGATGAGTCCAGACGAGTCCTGTGGACAAAGTTGTTTACGGGAAAAAAAACAAGTACCCAGTTGCAATACCCTTGCTTATCGCAAGGATAATCAAACATATCATATAGCTTCGGACGTTTCGTATGTTGGGGGATTAGATATATTTGATGGAGATTCATTTACTAATCGTTAACTCCTGGGCCGGATGGTTTAATTTTTCCTATGATATTTCCGATATTGCACTCTGCAACAGTGCATAACTTTATTCCTGGTTTTAAAAAAAAGATAATTTTATTATTAAAAAGTCGTTTTCTTGTAAAAATCTCAGATCAGAATTTTGTAAAAAGTTGTAAGACTCCTATGATAGTAATTTCTTGGATAGCGACCTACGGTCGGTCAACCCGGGAAGGCAAACATTTTACTCTTCGACAAACAATGGAGGTACACTTTCATATTTTATTCACACTTTCAATCTTTGAACTTGAACACCAGCACTAAGAATGCGGTTTCATTCAGCCGGCTCAGTGCCCATGTATCTTTACAAACAACTTAGCTTTTCCTTTTATATCACAAAGGACGCAAATTTAAGTGACCTGTTATATTGGCGTCATCAATCTTGAAAAACTAATGCTGTTAGAACAAACCTACCAAGCCAAAACATACAAAAGAGTGAATGTAAAAATTTTCTGGAGACTTCGATAAATATAGTGTTTTCGGGAAAACTTTTGAAACGTTTCCAGCAACAAGTTTTTCAGCACTTGCTTCCCATTATTTCTGTAAAAAGTAGATGAAAATTTAATAAAAAATTTCATGGATAATCGTGCATTAAAAAGTATTTTCTTAAGGCGAAGCAAGCAACAAATAGAGCTAGTAAGGAGCCGTTAGAATTCTCACTCAATCAGCAAAAAACAAGACAAATTGCCTGGTTGTAGTGAAACTTTTTATTCAAAAAGAAAAAATTAATCCGAGTAAATCTGATTTTCAGTGCTAAATTTAGGCTAAACGGATAGTATTTTATTTCAATTGTCACTGAGAGCAATAATTGTTCAATGTTTTATGAAAATCAAGAGCATTCACTCATTGATTTGTCTCGTTAAAAGTATGAATTACAGAAAAATAAATTTATTTATTTATAACCTAAACTTAAGCAATTTGAAACAACTGACAATTGATATCTGCACATCGAAAACATACAATAACATATTTCAACATATAGCATATAAAACTATCAGTTCAATTAGATCCCGTGCTATGTGTACAAAGAAGCTAAAAATTATCTTTGATTACCAAGAGAAAGTGATAACTCCTGTGGAAATATTGAGAAGTTCGTTTATCGCCGAAGTTATTTTGTAACAATCAGGCATCTAAATCACTAATATCAGGTTCGTTGTGCAGCAAAACGAATGTTTTCTTTCCTTCCTTTTTAATTTTGGCTGCTGCAGGCGACGATGAGCCGCTGGGATCTGAATTTTTATCTGCTAGAGTCTTCTCTGATGAAGCTTGAGTTTTGTTTTGATTTGACCTCACGAGAGAGAAAATTATTAGCAGCGCTACTATTAGAAGTATGAAGTAACTTGTGTGCACTAAATGTACGTTGATCAACTCCTGGTCACCCTGAAAGAAACATAGAATGCTAACAGCGTTTCCAGTTTTTTTTTCTCTAAAAACTCGACTTAGCTATTCTCCATGTGTACACAAAAATGGGAAAAAATATTTTAAGCTGCATAGTTTACCAAAAAGAGCTGCATCAAAACATTTCATGAGATCTTCAAAAAACTAAAGAACTCAACGAGAAAAAAATCTCTGCCAGCATTAGTTTATACGACTTACTGTAGAAAGAAAGGCCGTCAAGTCAATATTAAACTTGTGGTAGATTTCAATGATATAAGACTCGGCATGAGTGCTAGCTGAGTCATCTTTTCCCTTTTCATTTTTCGTTGTCGGCCACGGAAATTTTGTTTCTTTCACACAACTCGAGTTTCCCTTCCGACGTGGCACAAAAGTGGCTGACTTGTCATTCGAACTCTTTTCTGTTTTAAAGATGATGTCAAGTACTCTGTTAACTTCCTCTTTCATTTGTTCATCAGTGGTGTCTGAATGCTCAAAGCAAGTTTTTGGTCTGAAACATTAATACGCGATTATTACATAATTGTTTACGCAGCGCTTCGCAACTTATTCATACAGCTGGTAAAAATGGACACCCGAGCAGAATTGATTGTCAAGCTCACTCTAAACTATTCAACTTGAAAAGACGAGCTTTAGAAAATTTAAAAAATATATTCCAGATTAAATAAAAGAATCAAGAAAAACGTATTGGAAAAAGTCAGATATCAGTTCTCACATTTTGTTAGATTTTGCAAAAGACCTTGATTTCTATTGTAGAATTGGTGATTCTACTGTATTACATGCTATAGTAACCTGAGCGTAAGATTGATTCGTCATTAAGTTAAGTAGTAGAGCAAACAAAGGGTAGAGTTCAAAATAGTTCAATCTTCGAAGATATCGTCCCTTCTATGCCAGAAAACAAAATTTGACAAAATAGGCGAACCCCCCCCCCCCCCCCAAATCGGAACTAAGCAAGCTAATGTTATGAAATTCAGAGGAGCGATACTAGAGATGAGTTGAACCGGGCATACAAAAAACCGTGACCCCTTAGACCCTTGGGGGGCAAGTGATAATGGTCCCCGGAAGTGTAAATGGTCCTATCAGAACTAGGAAACTAGAGGCGCTAGTGGGCTCAAATTTTAGATGTTGTAGGCCTAGTTGAGGGAAGCAACAGTTTGGAACCCCAGACCCCTACTTCAGGTTTTATGCCCGAAGTAAACAAACCCACCCCTAACTTCCCGAAGTCGTTTCTCGGCCTCCAATGAGTGCAGGGAGCTGAAACTTGGAGGTATGATAGGTAGTGGCAAGATACATCTTGCATTATAATTTGAACCAAATCCGGCGGTTGGATCGGAAGCTATTAGCACTTGAGAAAACCCTCCCTTAGACCGCAAATAGGCAATTAATGCAAAATAATGAACGGTGGCATAATGATTTTATGGCAGCCATCGACACAAGATACGAAATCCGAAAAAATACCCCTAAAGAGCGAAAACCCTCCGGCGACTCCTTCCGGTGTTAATAGCCCTTTTCCGGAAAAAGTGATAATGGACCTTAGAAATGGCATAACTAGGAAGTATAAATGGGATAGGGATGAAACTAAGTAGTTAGGACTCCCATGGGGTTCTGAACCCAAACATGGAAGTTTGACCCCGGTTGACCACTGGGTGACCTCAAGTTGACCTTTGGGCGTCTTGACCCCAAAATTGCAAAGAAAACCCCAAGATTAAAGCCGGAAAGTGGTGTATTCTCCAGCACAACCCCTGGAATTGAGATTGGGTCACCTTGCTAAAAGTTGGGAGGAAAACTCACATTTTGGGAGGTAGAGCAGAAGCTGATAGAGATATAGTTTTATAAAGCAAGCTTGAGGTAGAAGAGTTAATTCAAAGTGGACCTGGTAACCATTGGGGTAAGTTTAGCTTGGCGAATGATCTATTATTAGCAATTCAACTAGACTAAAGAAAAGTAGTCCCAGAGGAAATTGATAGTAATAGGACCGCACCATGAGAATTCAGTCTCCTAAGAATGGACGGGGAATTTACTTGGCTTCTCGGAGGTGACTTTTTGGTTTGATTTGACTCCTAATAGACGAACTACGTTACCCTGATAGCTAGAAGGTCGGGATTGGAATAGAGTACAGATAGAAATTTTAGATGCATGGAATGAATTAGCTACCCATGAAAAGGGTCTCCCCCTACCCTTGGGAGGTCGGAATGTTTACGGGATATCTAAAATAAAGACCTTGGGAGGGTCACTGAGTAAGCATTGCATGGTTTGGAGGTTGAGTTGTACGAGGGCTGAAGTCACTGAGGTCAGGAATTCGCTGATTAGAATCGTTTGACATTTGTTCGCTAGGTCAAATTGTGACACCTACAGCATACCGGGTATCTAATAAACGTGAAAAGACTGATAAAAGAAACCGAATTTGGCACGTGGCAGAGTTGACAGGGGTGAGGATATAGTCTTAAACATGAGCGGACGGGCGATTTAAGCGGATGTCAGGACTCATGGGAAATGGCGTGACTCAAGTAAAACTAAGTGAAGAAAGATAAGGAGTTGGAGGGTACCGGAGAGTCTTTAAGAGTCAAAACAGTTGCTGGCATCTATTAAGAGTAGTTGGTTCTCAGTCAGAGTAGAGAACAATTATTGCTAGCGAATCGAGGAGTTGATTATAAAAGAGAACAATTATAGAAAAAACAGTAGATAGTTGCTTCTCGTCAGAAATTCTCTATAGAGAGAGAAAATAGTTAGTGATTAGTGAAATTAGTGGGAGTTAACTTGCAATCGAGCAATTGCGCTAAAATTCGGAGACCCATTTCCTACGGTTAGACTGATAATTACATTGTGGCCATTCAGAGCCTTCTGTAATTAGACGTATAATCATTTGAAGTAATTTACAATTGATGATCATTACGATTGTATTGACGAGACAGCCCTAAGAGCAATACACGGAAGGGGCAAGCAACAGAGAGCAGTACAGGATATTTGCCACCAAATTAACCCTTTCGGGATTGTAGATAGTAGTGAATCTCGGTCGCCCTGCTGAATTCACTGCCAAAGGGACAAATTAAGGAGGAATCCCCTAAATCTACATCTATGTTCCAAAAAATTTGGTACGAGGGAGCTTGAAATTCACACTTAATTAGAACACTAAATGCAGATAAAACGATAATCATAATTTTTAGCAAAACAAACCGGAAAAAAACTAAATCCACAAACTGCTAACCTAAAAAATCGGCCAATTAAGCGAAAGAAGTTTTTTCGACATCTTTGAATTCGTATAGATGAACAGCTGAACTTCGATAAACACGTTGATTTTCTCGGTAAAAAATTCACGAATGTTTTTAGGCTAAAAAATTAAAACATTGTCATAAATTATCATTCTAATTTTCTTGAAAACTTAAAATCATCATAATTTTTTAAACTGCTACATCCTTGATAACGAAGACCTCTCAAGAATTATCTTCTATTAGTCAAATAAGATCCCTGATTTTTTTGTCTTTTCTCTATAACATTTCTCTTTCCTTTTTCGGTGAAAACCAATATAAATTGAAATCTAAGCAGTCGTATGATTTATCTTCCAATACTGCAAAAATATTTCTCACCGATTATCAAAATCTTACAAAGCAAATTTCCGCTCTGAGACACATGTGAACAGACCTGTAGGTCCAATGGTGCTCTCCTAGTCAGTATAATTGTTGGCGTGGTTTGTAAATCTATTAACTACCGACAATGGAATTGCCTGAAAGCAATTTATTATTATCTGTAATCAGGCGTCTTGTGTACACCAAGCTCTGAGAAAGCTGAAGTATTTAGATGTATGTTAAAACATGTCGGCATATGGTATATCTTTAAGATGCCTAAATCTTAAGGCTTCAAGATAGGGAAATAGTGGTAGACACATTTAAAATTGAGGCAACTATTTTGGGTGAAATTCTCAACCCAAAAAATCGTTAAACTGTTTAATATAATTTCTTGGCAAACTTTCTGTCGATCGATGCATTTCTCAAGACTAGCTTATTTTATTTTGGTAGATTTCGATCTTCATTTTTCCTTTGTTATCTTTCATTTTATAAATATCGTGTAATGAAGGGTAATTTAGTAAGTGTCAAGTTACTTATTTAGGTCGTATGTTCTTGTTTCAGGAAAACGACTTTAAATTTTTCACGCGCAAGTTTCGTTTTTAATTTCTTTAGAAGTTTTTGAAACGAAAATCATTTGCAAATTACGCTCTCCAAAAACAAAAGTGCAAATGACAGGGTTGAAGGTGAATGCCTTTTAGGTTTAAAGACGGATTTTGATTTTAAGAGATCCCAGCAAATCAAAAAAATTACATATTGACTCAGCTTCTTATAATTGGTGTTGGTTTCATGAAAAAATTGTCTGTTTTTTTTCTGTTGACTTTGTTTACCTTTTGTTTTCCTCAGAATTTTTTTTGGCGGAGTGCAGCTAGCGTATGTTTGACTGCAGTTCAAATATTTTCGCAATGTCTTGACTTTTATTTGATCTTTTGTAGTATTAAAATTACTATTGCTTTCTTTGTCGCTAGATCTGTCAATAATGTAGTAAAATTGTTTAATATTGTAAATTTAAAAAATTTGTTTGCTGATTTTTCTTCGAGTTTGCTGTATCTATGCTATCATAATCATTTTTTCCGGCCATTTGAAAAATGGAGAAGAACTATGTATTCGGGTGCGTTTTAATTTTTTCTTTTTGTTTTCCACGCAAAATCAGGTACCATTCATAACGACATTGAAATTTTTTAAAAAGTTGTCCAGTATCGAGAAAAACCGGTTTAAAATTTTTGATTTTTAGTCTAAAATCGAGCGAGCAGGCTAAAATAGCATTTTTTTGCTAAAATTAGGCCGTGAACACTAACTTTTACTCAAGCAAAAATGTTTGTGGAGTTTTTCAGCTCCATTTGGAAATTAAAAACTTTTGGTAGAAAAAAAAGACAAACAAAAAAGAAACATATAAAAAAAGACAAACAAAAATAATTAAAAAAATTGTTCATTCAGCAAAAGGAAGATTTTCTGATTTTTGTTTGTTGAAAGTTTTGCCCAATTTCCCATTTTTGCTATGACTAGAATATTCCTAGATCCTTCTATCACACCATAAAGAAAAAAAACGATAACTTGAAAAAAAAAACTATTATTTAGACTATGGTCGGAACATTCTGTGCTACTTGCACAGTGACCGGCTATACTTGGTCAAACTTATGTATTTCACCTCAATTCGCAGCCCTATTTCACAAAGTCTAACATAGTCCAAAAACAGGAAATTAACGCAACAAAAATACTTGAACATTTGTATTTATTGAAGCCCAATAAATAAAAAGAGGAAGATGTAATACAAAAAAAATTCATAGTCATTCTTCCAATACAAAATGAATGAATAAGAATAATATCAGGAGAAAAAAAAATGGAAAAGAAAAACCTTCAAAAATCATTTTCGCCAATAATTACCTATCATAATTATTAAAAACACCTGCACCAGAAAAATTTTAACAAAGAT